CGGGCAGGGCAGGGCAGGGCCGGGCCGGGCCGGGCCGCCCGGGTACTCACATGGCGGGCAGCCGAGCGGCTCAGGGTCTGCTGCCTCCCTCTCCAGCAAAGATGGCTTTCCGGCTCTGCTCCTGCTGCAAGCAGTCTCCTAGTACCGTAGGCACTGTTGCTGAGATAGGAGGGGTAGGCACCGGCTACTGAGCATGCCTGTGCCTCACATCACAGAGTAGGAAGCAGAGGCGAGGCACAGAGGTACCCCCTCCCCGCCCTCACGCCAGGCAGGAGAAAGTCCTAGAGCGACCAAGGCGCAGGGAGCCCCCCGCCCCGCCGAGCAGGAAACGTCTCGCCGGGGTGTGGCTACCAGGGCTGGGCTCGGGGCAGCCAGGAGGCTTCGGGGGTATTTGGATGGGAACCTTCGCCTGTTTCCGTAACCACCTCCTTTCTCCCTCTCCTCTCTAGACAGAAAAGAGGAGCGGGGGGGGTGTCACGAGAGGTATCGCAGTTCGATCTGTGCTGTCATGGGTGAGCACTTGCAAATGAAAAAAAGCAAGTTGTCAGGATTGTAATTCTGACCCGTAACAGAGCAAAAACAAAGGCAGATAGGCAGTTACTAGATCAACCATTGCTTCTTAAATGATTGTCTCAGACAAAATACAGCCGTTGCCAAGTCTCCATGCTCTTGGCTTTGACTTCTTGCAGCCTTCACCTTGTACTCAATCTACGCCTAGGCATCCAGTCTCCCCCTTGAATCCCCTTCATTAACATTAGCACTTCTCTTGCACACCCCCTGCCCCTGTACAGAACAAAAATTCCTCTGAAGCAGAACATGCTCCTTGGCACTTAAACCAAGGCCACCACATACTCTAAACAGAGGCCAAGGAAGAAGAAAGTATACACGGTTTTTCAAGAAGTGGGAACATAACATTGCTGCCCCCAATGATACCTTGTTCCATTTTGCTTGTAAAAAGATACTCCACCCATCACTGCCTTCACTAACTTTCCATCCATGTCAGTGACAGCTAGCACAAGCCTTTAAAACCAGCTACCTATAAGTAGGCTTACCCAGAACACAGAGGAGCTTTTGTATGTTTCTAGACCTCAGATCTTGGGGTGCCTGTCAGGGATAAAGTACATCAGTGTCATCAGAGGTTTCTGCATGTGGAAGCCAAAGAAAAGATGAGTTGTTCCTCATAGCAACAGGCAAAGGTACAGGTACTAGGGGTGAGCAACACATCAGTCTCAATTTCTAAACTTGATATCAACCGGTTGAATATTTTCATGGAGAAAGAAAGTAACCAGGGCATGTGACAACACCCACAGCAGTGGTACACAGCCCAGACGTTAGGACACTCAGTTATTGCCTAAATCCAGGCTCAGATACTATCACAGCCTGATTCAGATGCAAGCCCCTGGCCGTCAGCTCTGAAGGGGAACCAGTCCCTTGGGAATGGTGGAACACCCGAGAGCAGCTTGGTCACGGGAACCTCTCTCCCTTCTCCCTCCGCTGCCTGAGAACTTGCTCACTGCGTTGGAGACTCATCATACCTACTGCCGCTGGAGGGTGACTCTGTCTCTTCTGCTGAAGCTAATTATTTGCATGAATAAATAAACATCACTTAGGGCAGCACTTTGAGCCTTAGTTTTCTACATTTGACCACATCATTAAGGGCTTGCTCACATACTGCACTCATAACAGCCTGGCACTGGGAAACTTTTCCTGATGGAAGTAAAAAAACACTTCAAACTGGATTTTCTCTACAAAAAGCTGGAGTTTCAACCAATTGACATGCCCTGATGACAATCAGAAGATTCCTGGCTAGCTTTAACCTTTATCCATCCACAGACCTCTTAGCTCAGCACTTTTCATCTGGAATTCCTCCGTAACTCTTTCCTCCTGAGGACAGTTTACTTTTCAGATATCCTAGACAAAGATATCGTTATAGGATACTCCCATAGCATACAGCCACACCAACACCCACACATAGACTTAAGCCCAGTATTGGGACCACCTGCTACCAGGTACATTATCTTCTTAGTCCTCTAACCCAAAACACATTTGAATTCTGAGGAAGTGAAAAGTCACGCGTGGCTAGTGTGGCCAGCAGCTCCCGGGACAGAAGGACCCGCACTATCTAGACCTTCCTGCCCTTTCTGTGGTATCACTTCGTGTCCCTACTATATGGAGAGTGGAACAAGTAACTATTGATGCTAGACCAAAGCTCGTAAGACTCAAAAAAAATCCTGGAAAACCCCAAACCCAACATGAAACTGTTTTAATATACAAACTATCCAGAGCACATGACAGCGTTTATGCTGACTTCATGCCAGCTTTATCCTGACTGAAGGAGAATAGAAAATGCCCACATAAGCATAAAGGTAACAGGGCAGACAGACATTGCCTGCTTTAGCACAAGTGTGCCAGTGCAGGGATAACGCTTCAAACATTGTGAACGTAGTGCAGAATGAGAATGAGCTTAAGCTAGATCGGTGCACCACATCATATGGCCACAGCTTTCTTTGATCTGATACAGAAGAGCTCTCAAAACCAAATTAAATAACATCATTGCACTATGGCCTTACTCGCTAAAGAAGAATTTCCTACCAACTAATGAAGGCATCACCACTCCAGCCCAAGAAGGCTCATGATCCTGAAGAAAATGCACAGCTAAGCTGGGGGACGTTTTCCTTTAGCCCTACCTTCCCTCCAGATTGCAGCTTGCCATTAAAGGCTACCAAAGCCTTTGGTGTAAGAAGAGATGCAGAGACACCCTGTGGTGGCAAAAATAACATGATCAGAATTAGTTCAAACAGCTTAAATTTTATTTAAGACACAGAACTGGATCAGAAAAGCTGCATCCTGGGGACACAGAGAAATCTTTCTCAAGTTGCTAATCACGTCATTTCCCCTCTCCAGACCTCCTTTCCTGTCTGGCATCTTTTGCCCTGTGCGTTCGCATGATGGTCCCTGCCACAAAGATTTTACCTCTCGTTCTGTTCGGTTCTTTTACCCCAGGGGATATCAGCTAGGTCAGGGCTGCCACGTGCTGCTGCAATTGGAGGGATGGCTGCAGAAATGCTCCATTTCTGGAAAGTAGTCTCCTGCATGTTTAGCCTGCCAGACCTGGGTAGGGAAAACTATCAGTCTTGTTTGTAAATTGTTGCATTGTTGTTGGTGGGTTTTTTTTTTACCCCATCCATAATTCATATTTTGTCCTGAAATCGTATTTATAAATATGAAGGCGGTTACAGAGGCACCAATATGCTGCTCAGGTAGTCCAGTCAACAGCAAGCATCAGTGCAAATCAGTTTTGACATCTGAAGTCTTGCAGGTACTAGACCTTGCTTATCATTAACTAGAGACAACCTACAGATACAACACTGAGGTTCCTGAAAATGCTGTCCACTGCTGTTACGTGATCTTCATCTGAAGGAAACATATTTTCTCCCAGATCTACAAGTAGGATTCCTGTTTTAAAGAGTCATTATGTAATCTATAGGTTTATGGACTGACCACATAATAAAGTAAATCCCAGACCTAGCGACAGTAACGCTATTATTGGTTACTTTGGCTCAAAAACCAAAAACACACTGTTGCTGTTGCTAAGTAAGAAAGGTGAGGGCAATTAATCGGTATATTGAAAGCAATGGTAGTCAAGTTTCACAAGATTTAAGTGGAGAAGAAAGGCAAGGAAAAGAAATCAATTATTCAAATATTGGGTATTCAAATCTTCTGATCCAGCAACACATTTAAACGTACAGTTGAAGTACAGGAGGAATTCCCCCTACATCATTAGAATTAATTACACTGGAAACTCAACATAGCCAGACAACTTCATCTTTAAAAGAAGAGAAATTAAATACTGTACAATGTATGTCCAAATTACAATTTTTTTAAAAATTATTGACTAAAAGGCTTTAGAAAAGACCCCTTCTGTGTATCTTTGATTCTTTGTCACCAACTTCCACATACTTACATCTGTACTTTCAATGTTGCATTTTCCTCTCTTGATCTTTTCGACAAGAGAAATTAGTACTGAAAGATCCCGCAGTGAGAAGCCTTTGAAGCTCACTTCTCAGAGGCAAGGCAGATTCCTGCCTCGCCGGTTGCTGATTTTTATTAGCCACAGATTGGTCTGTTCTGCAAAGCTCCACCTCAGCACCACTGCATGCCTAAAACGGGTCTTGAACTTGTAGATTATTTTGTCACAAATTAAAAACTGAAGGGAAGTCTATAATTATGAGGTGTGTCATTTTCTTTCATTTACAAAACTTTTATTCATTCCTTAATAACACAGTAATTCTTTAGTGACAGGTTCCTTTTACAGGTCAATGAACTGTTAGTATTTCTTTCATAAAAAGCTTTTTCTGCCATTTCTGTGGGAGAAACAGGTTCAACTTACCTAGGTTCTGTTAAAAAGCTGGGTAGCTTTTTAATGAGCCGGTAGGTCATTACAAAGCATGAATAGCAAGGTGTGTCACTGTTCCTTCGAGGTATTCATAGTTTCTTGTTAATGTAAGTCAATATATAATTGTGGTAAATAATTACAACACAATGGAAAAACTGTTTCAGGGTGTGATGCTGTAAAGCACTTGCACAGTGAGTCCCTACTGCCTGTGTACATCCTACTGTAAGAACTGATTAAGAAGAACTGTCCTTAAAGGCTGGGTTGGGGGTGGGGGAGCAGGAAGAGACTAAGAGTAAAATCAGTGAAGGGCATAGTTCAAAATGGTTGTCAGTTTTGTTTTTAAGCCTACAAACTCTGTGCGACTTGTTTTAGATGATTTGTGGAAAATATTTTGAACAGGTAGGAACAGACAAGCACTTCCAATCACTAGGAGGGGGTGAACGCAACCCTCCAAGTCAAGCAACCAAAAGTTAATGCAATTACTAAGTATCAAATGTAGAGCAGAGAGACTAATTCAATCAGAGAGGCCAACGGGATAATTCTTGGAGACAAAGCAATGCAACGCGGAAATGCAGACTAATCAACTGCTTTATCAAAAGAAAAAGGAAACAATTTCCAAGCCTTAACTAAAATCTCCAGTTGGTTCTTCATCTTTTCAGGGTTCTGGTTTTTGCTTTGCAGTGTTTGTTCCATCTCACATTTGTTTCGCTGCTTTTGTTCTCTGCGCAAAACTGTTTCATTGGCTCCTGGTTCTTCGCTCTTATCAAACGAGCCGCCTCCTCTCTTGGGTTTCAGCAACTAGCCTAATCATGAAAGAGAGCACGTAGCGGGAAATATTTATTATATTTAATGTCCAAGCCTACTCTCCGTAATTACGTGGAATG